TGAAGAAAGAAGATTGAATCAGCAGGCTCTTCTAAAACAGTTTCTTGGTCATGATTTAGATTATGAGGTAGGATTACTGCATTGTCATGAAAATTAAATGTAATATAAGTCAAGAACATTAAATGCTAAATTTCAAAGAAAGTGAAAAACAATTGTATTTGGATGAAAATGAGAAATAAAAACAAACTGTATAAGTGGACTAAGAATAAAACACATGATTAGTAGAAGCAACAGCTAAAAATATGTACAAAGCTTCAATTGCAAGTTTTGGCTCTTTTAACAAAACTGTATTTACCTTCCCTCTTTAAACAGTATTATTATTACAATATACAAAAAACGAAACTAACAAAGAAGAAAATTGGATCATGATAAATCTTGAAATATCACTACTCTATTTGACAGTCATAAAATAGTCCCAGGTACACAATAAAACTAGTCCATAAAACAGCAGATAGTTGCTACAGAAAGTAAAAACTAAAGTTGAAATTTAGTATTTTCCAATTCAGAACTTTAGAAAGATTTTAGTTTTGTAGATATAAAATACATATTATAATAAAGTGAGGTACATGCCATTTACATACCATAAGATTACTAAAAATTATAAATCAAAATGAAAAAATATTTTTGAAAGTTAGTTTAGTTTTTGCTAAGAAATAATTAAGTGTAACATCAATATGTACCCTGAAAAGTATTTTTTTCTTAATATCAATGTAATCCTTTAGAACATAAGCCACTAAGTTCACTAATTTTTCAATACCATAATTTTACGAATATAATACATATTTGTTTCACTAAAAATTAATATAAAAGTTAGGGTGTCCAGACCATCTTTTCTGAAACACAGTGTGAGTGATGATACATGCTTACTAGAAACGTTGAATTTTGATAGTATGTCTTATTAATTCTCTCTCTCTCTGTTTCTAAGGCATAAATAAGAATTTTCTCCCGTTTTCATTCATTTTCAGTATCTTTAAACATGATTTTTGAAATAAAATGATGAAGAAGTTTAGTTAAAGTACTTATTTAAAAATTATAATTTTTTGTCTATAAGACTTATGAAATATTTTGTGAAGATATACAAAACATGGTAAAAGTTATAGTATGGAAACCCTGAAGGTCAATTTGGGGTCATGTGATCAATTGAATCAAGTGAGTTTATAGCAAGAAAGTTAAGAGAATTTCTGTCATGAGTTGTTCGGTGTATATTTACATCAACCTTACAAAATCAGCACTTTAAGCACTGAACTAAGTGTCAGTATTTAACTTTAAACAGCTAATGCAGCTTTGTTATGAGAAGCTTTGATTTTATGGCATATTTTTTGAATTGGTCTTATAAAGTTAAAACTACTACACTTACATACGTGCAGTAGGAAAGAAATATTTCAGACCAAACAATATATACCTTATTGTAGCAAAGCTGTTGCAGAGGACATGCCTAATGAACACTGGCTGTAAATGGGTTTTTGAGAACGTTTATTTGCTAAGGTGAAAACACAATTAAAGATTATATGGACTCACTAAAATTGTCATCAAAGAATTACTTTGATTGCAGTATTGCAAAAGCCTAGATGCATATGATTTATGGTGATAAGGCAAATTTGACTCTTCATTCATGAAGATTAGAATGTATATCATATTTGGGAGCATATTATATTTGGCAAATTATGGTATAATTGTAATATATTTTACAAAATTAAATGGTTGTATGAATACAACTTAGAATAATCCTATAATGACTAAACTGCTTCCTCATGGGTGGTGTTCATTATTAGAGATGTTTTTGAATCTTTGTCTGAATGTCAAAAAGGGGTATTAAGATACATAACTCTACTGAGTAATATGTATTTAATAGGAAGATGTGAATGGTCATTATTCAAACTAACAAACACAATGTTAACACTTCCAATTTTACAACTGAAAGGGAAAACTAGCTATACCAGTGTCTACTGCTAAGAAGTTAGTACTTATAAAAACAAAAAGTTTACTTTGGTAATCTGTTTACATTAGTTATAACCTTAGAAAAAAATATTGTAGTTTTTTTTTTAGATTCTTTTAGTATCAATTTCAGCTGATTTATACTCATAATTTAAATACAGAAACATATTTATTCTATATTTGCAGAAAAATATTTTGTACTTGAACATAATTTATGCAAGTTGTAATACATCACAAAATTGAGAGAAAATAAATTTACACTTTAAACCTCATTTTAAGTAACAAAAACTATTTTCAAGATATTTTTTAACTATCACATTTTTAGAATAGATTTGTAGAATAATTATCACAAATGTTAAACATATGTAATTAGCACTTTTTCACTTATAAACAGAACTTCAACATAAGATTTAGTACTAAACTGCTTATAAACTTGTAGAATAACTTTTGATATTTAAGATAATGACTACAAAGGAAAACTATTTATACAGCTAACCTCATTCATTATGATTGTCCCTTCAATTGCTAACTTGAGGTTTGTTAAGGTACTTCTTACAGCAGCAATAACTAGTTGCATACGATCAATCTCTTGCCTTAGAAAAATGTTCATAGATGACAATACTCCCATTTTTTGTAGTCGAGCATAAACCTTTCATTGAAATGTTAGAATACAATATAAATTAGTATGAAAAAGCAATTATTATGATACATACAGCAATAATTGTGGGCTATAGTCATTTATGTTTTTGTAGCATTAAGAAAATTATAAGCCTATTATAAGTAGGCTTTTTGCATACCTCTTATTAACTATCAGAATGTAAATGTGGTTAAGACTATAATTTCAAGGCATTAATAAAAGTCATCATTTTCTTTTCATTACAAGTAGTACATATGACCTAATTCAATTTTATATATGTTTAATGAAGAATAAACCTGAAATGACTTTACAGTAACCTAGACTCGTTTATAATATTATTTTTACACATCCCATTAATGATGTATGGATGTACAAATACTTAGACATGTTTGCCAAAACATACACAGACATATGATCAATATGTTATTGACTTTGTAATTAATTTGTTTTTAGTCCAATAAAACATCATGTTAGTGATATGATGCCACATATACTGACCTCATGAGGTACATAATCTGGTGGCAATCTTTCAAGCATGTCATCAGACAATCTCTGTACTGTGCTTTCTCGTGTTGCTCCACCTCCACTACTAGCATCTTTAGGCTGAATGGACAAAATAGTGTTGAGAATGTCTGTGGCTGTGCTGTTTTGGTACCTAAATGTATAATAGAAAAAAAATTAGATCAGCTCAATATAAATAAAACAACATTTGTTTTTGACCAAGGTGAATCAACAAAGTTCTAGATTTTGGGTTCATTTCTCTTTGTTTTTCAAATACCTTTTCAACAAACTACCTTCAAACAGCCTTAATCAGTATATTATTATATTGTAATATTTAATATTAAACTTTTTTTAAGTGAAAAATCTGATATGTAACCTTTGGCTAACAAGATCATTGCTCTACCACTGAGCTATCCAAGAGTAAAAGCTATCATTGTCAATTTTCACTCATAAAGCTTTTCGCTATGAATATGATCTACCATACTATGTTATGATAGGCACAAAAAACATATCATACGAAGTCCATCTACAGACTTACATTTATTTCATAAATTTCAATAGAAAATTATGAAATAGAAACATTATCACATCATAATATTTAATGTTAAGTATTTATGTTAAAAAAAAAGCAGATAAGTGAAAACAGACGACTGTGATGTAATTAATTTAACCCGGGGACCTCTGGCTGACAAATCCAGTGCTTTTATCACTGAGCTATTCAAGAGTAAAAGCCATCCCTATCAATTTTCACTTATAAAGTATGATCTACCATTTGTTTGACTAAAGATCTAAAACCATTAAAAAACACATTTTATACCAAACACATCTCAAATATATGTCTTTCATTCAAGAGAACCATAAGAAGCAGGAAGGAACAAAATAACCTTCTTTTAACTCCTGCCTAATAACTAAACATGTATACTATAAAAAAAAACAGAGTTATACATCTAATTTCATTCAAAAAACTTTTCTAATCTTCTGATTTTTATTTTGATTGGCCAATAATTTTTAAAATAAATATCCAGTAACCTGTTACGACAGCGGGAGTCACACGACGCTGGGAGCATGCGCGCTGGAGTTTCTAGAATGATCGTGACTTAGCGGACAACCTCAGGAATGTCCCAGCGTTTGCTAGATGTCCTCTTTTTTAGTATATAAGCCGGAGATAGATTGAAGGGGGAAGATCGAGACAAGCGAGCAGTAGGACCCTTAAGTAAAGTGTGTGAATTTAGCGTGTGTTTATAAAAGTAGTTAAGTTTAAAGTGACTGTGGAAATTAAGTGTATTACAGTTTGTAACAAGAAAGAATAAACCAGTTTTAATTAAGAAAGGACTTGTATCGCTGAAGTTTCTGGGAAATAATTTTTACAGGAAATTATCAAACAAGTAGATATGTAACACTACTTATATTATAAATCAAGTAGATATACAGTACGTTATATCAGCATTGGAATGTAATCCAAATGCTTGTGGTGAATCAACACTAGGCAGCTCTTGTATGAAGTTAATGTACTGATTGATGGAGGAACACTTTGGTATCTTATATCCTGTGTAAAAGGAGAAGTCTTCCAGGAACATATGGTCACCAAACCAAGCCTTAAAAGAAAAGGAACTTCACATATGTTAAAAAGAAAATACACCAACATATTAAAAATTCAGTTATTAGTTTAAGTTAACACACATACTTTGTTATTAGTTATAAAATACTATTTAACTCTTTTAGAGATCTTGATGATATATGTACTCTAATAAAATAAAAATACCCCAAAGTATTTTTTATATAAATGTAAGTATGTATGTAACATTAAAAACAAATTAACTACATGCCTAATTGTATTTTTTTCTTACTGGCTTAATGATATACAAAAATTTCCTATTATTTTTAACTTTTGCTATGATGCATAAAGATAAAAGTCAGGTCTTTATACCTTTCTTTGTGCTTTCAAAAATTACTGATACTACATTATTCTCAAACCACCAACATAGTTAATAGATAATATTTATTAAAGTATAAGTCTGTATATGATATTATTGTGATGAGTCTCCAAAGTTAACAAAAGCACAAGAATCTGGGATTCATAAATTTACGTTTTTGAAACATAAAGATAAAAAAAGGATAAGGAGGACAAGAAAGGATGAGACATGACCCCAAAGTGCAAAGAAATTATATCTAATTTTATTGATCACCTTCTGTACTTCAAAAAGTCCTTTCCACTGCAGGGTGAGTTTGTTGTCTGTAACTGACCTTGAAACATTGATCCTTGGTCTTCTTGTCATAGAAGTGCTTCCAACTGCCTTTGATGTGTTCAACTTCCCCAGTAGAACTGCTATGATAGATCTGTTACAGTACTCTTTTCTGGTTCTCTACTTTTGAAGTCTCTTTGTCTTGTGCTCGACATTCTTCTGGGCACTGACCCAAAGTTTCTACAGTGAAAGGTCTTTCTTTAGTTCCCATAAACCTACATTTGGGATGTCACATTTTGAGACTTGCAGGGGCTTGATATCTTGTTTACTATTCTTTTCTTGAGCTCTTATGGTGACTTCAGATGCCTCAGTCTCCTTTTTGTCTTATTCCTCCAAACTTCTCCTGGCTGGTATATTGCTAATCACCAAGTCATAGATGGGTACTTACATACATATAGCCTCAAGGTCTCCCACATAATATGGAGTGTCCACTTTTATTCTTGCTACATGGAGCTTTCTCCCTGTTTCATCAATCAGCACACACAAATGTACCTTGCCTGTCATCTGTTCATCAGATACTAGATTAGTTCTCACTGCTGCACTACTACACCCAGAGTCTCATAGAGCTTTCACTTTTTTTCCCCTGACATAGCCTTCACCTACTGGCATGTTGTAACTTGTTGGCACCTCTCAATGTTTGTCAGATTCTCTGATTACCACTGGCACTGTTGACCCATTTGTTAACTTGAGCTAGCCATCAGTCATGCATTATTTAATTATGGAGATAGCATTTCCTTCTTGTGGTGAATCTGATGAGTTATTTCTTTTTTGTTTCCTTTGGCAGTAGCACCCATGGTGACAGTCACTTTTTTCTTGTTTATTTTGATCCATCTCTCAAAGTCAGTTGACATGTTTTTTAGCATGATTGTAATCTGTAATAATTTTTCTACCATTACAGCTGCAGATATGTACACCTACTTTGCCTACTGTTGTTTATGTCTATTGCCATTTACCACTATATAATCCTGGCTGGCTCACCGATGTCAGGTTTTATATTTTTATAAGGGGCCAGATTCTTTACAGTAGATGATTGTGACTTATTGGTGATAAATTTCAACAATAAATGGACAGCACACAATCCATCTATTTTAAAATAATATATTCAAAACAAGTCAAACGTATGTAGAAAAATTCGTTACACTACTGGTTATCACAGTTGTATCCTGATCTTTAGCTAATTACCTCTTTTTCGTCAAAGTCCACACAGGCGGGTTTAATTAACTGTAGAATACTCTTTGACAAGACAAATTATTTTCCTCTTCTCTGTTATTGCAATACAAGGCTGTGATTCTCACTCTAAAATCTCCACTATAACTGTTGGTTACCACAACTGTATCCAGAGCTTTAAATAATTGTCTCTTTTTCGTCAAAGTCTACACAGGCGGGTTCAATTATTTTAGAACACCCTTTCTTAAGACAAATTATTTTCCTTTATTTCTGTTATTACAATACAAACTGTGAAGCACACTTTATAAATTACCCATTATGGCTAAACTCACACACACACACAATCTATATCTATCTATATCTCAATCACTAACTTACTTTGTTGGACACCTATTTATAAATAGTCGGACCGAGGCCTTGAACTTTCTAGATGCTATGAGACATTATGTAATAATACTCATAAAACAACGAGAAAAATGTAGAAGTGCTAGTAACATGCTGCAACACTGACTAGTGAACTACACAACATATGATTTACACACAGTTAAGTAAGAAAACCTGTAACAAATTATCGCTTCTGAAAATACAAAATTTAACACTCACGCTTTAAAATTATCTAGATCATAGCACTTATATCAAATTTAAATTAAACAGTCATGTATGCCTAACAAGATCAAATTTCCTACGTTTAAACAATTAAAACATTGAAAATATATATCCAACAACAATATTTTACCTCCGAGTCTGTCAGCCCTGTATACCAAAAATAGCAGTGAAATATGCTACATTTTTAATAAATATTTTATTGTGTTTTGTAAGAACAGATAATTATTTTTGATGATTAGTATCCTTGGTTGACATTGTTATTTTGTAATTTTAATCTAACTATGTGGGCTAACACTGGCTTAGGTGTAGTTATGGAAGAAAAATAGAGGAGATACTAGCCGGAACGATACTAGGTATGATGTATGAAAGAAAAGTAATTGAAACTTGTAGTTTGACTAGTGTTACTAAAGCATCAAAGAACACACAATTGTCAGTACTCCCCCAGATAGCAAGTAGATGTTGGGCCATTTTTTGCTCAGCTGTCCAGTGCTGGCTAAATGACTGTAGCTAACATAAAGCCAATAATATTCCAACTTTAAATATTAATTTACCAGATAGCAGCCCAAGGGTGGTTCAGTGTTGGTCCAACAGAAACATCCACTTTTTTTTTTAACTTTGCAACCCAATGTTAGATCAACACATGATCCCATTTGTTGAATACTGCATAGTTTACTAAATATTTATGGAATGCTGCCATGTGATACAATGTAAAGAAATCATTATCAAGTGTTTATTTTTTTTTTGTTTAATTTCATGCAAAAGGTACTTAAGGGTTAACAGTAGGATTTTACTTCTTATAATACACCCACAGCCCCAAATGTGAGGAATATTGCATGATATCACACAGATTTAAACAAAATTCACCAGCTCCAAAATCCAGAGCTCTGCCACAGAGCCAATTCATGGCTTCTGTGAATATTGATTACCCCAGTGTGCTGGTTAACACAGTTTAAAATAACTTCAAAGAATTTCTTTACATAAGTAGCATTGTAGACTTGCTTGACAACAGAGGTCATCCTATACACCGAACCTCAAAAAAATACACTTTGGGTCGTCTCATACACTGATAAATACAACATATTTTATTAGTCTGTAGTAGTATAAATTCGTCATTTAAAAGCTGGCATAAGCATTTTCATTGACATCTGGGTGCTGTTTAATAGTGTTTTCTATAATAAACTCTAATTAAGAATGTTGATCAATTGCATTTTACATAATATCCTAGAAGAATGGAAAGGTTTAAGTTAATGACCTTATTACTTCTTACATTTTAAATTATGAGAGCCATTTTTATAACTTCTGTTATTTTTTTTCACAAGCATGTCATCTGATAAGATGAAAAGATTTTAATGATAATAATAAGAGGAAAAATAAATGTATTTATAAAACTCCTTACATCCATAAATCTACTCTCCTTTTCATATAATTGATAATTTAATATTAGTTAAGAAGCTGATATTCTAATTAGGTGTTCTTTAATTTATTGAACCAAAGTTACCACAGCATCGGGCCAATATTCAGCCAACAGTTAAAAAAGTAAATGTTTATCTTGTGCCAAGCATGAGCCAACACACTGGCTTAATTAGATTCTGATGTGCAAATTGTTATTGGGCCAACAATGTTTGCCAATCTTGGTCTGGTGTCTGGGTTATTAGATACCCAGTTGTCATTCACATGACAGCATGCCAAAGTTCAGCCAACATAACTCTACAAATTCCAATGATATACTTTTAAATAATGGAAGTTGACTGGGAATTTTCAGTCTCTGCATTACATGTCATCATACTGACTGATGATAGGATGGTAGAAGAGATTTTACTAGAGCTGAACTACAATTTAACTTTCACAGATCTCCCTGGCACACTATCTTCCTTGTCCTCCAGATGCCTCTTCTTTCCAGCCAAAGGAAAAGAAAAATAGTTGCTGATGGCAGGGCTGAGTAAATATTGCTTAAAAGTGAAAAAAGAAGTCACATGTTGAGCTGCCTCCAAAGATCTGTTTCTATGCATCTCTATGATGCCTGTCCCTCACAGGGAGCTCATGAGCATTAACAGCACAAGAATGAAATATGGGTGACAATCTGAAAAAGTTAAAGATACCAAGTGGGAGGGCCATGAATAAACTATTTTGCAGTATGTATAAAGAAACCCATTTGGCAAGAAAAGTCAAATTTACAGAATGAGGTAAAAACATCATGAAAGGAAATGCTCCATCCCACACCTCGGCTTCTGTGGAACTTGCCTTACCCACAACAACTTTGACTACCTCATTACCACTTGCAGAGCATGTAGTGATTCATAAACTACTATGATAGCTCTTGACTAGTATTCCGAAGTAATATGAATTAAGAGAAGTGATTATCTAGTGACATCACTACCACACTCAAGCCCAGTGATAGAGCACTGCTTGGGCTTTCATCCTTTGCAAAGAGGGCCAATGCTGGGAGTATGAGAGAGAGAGAAAAAACAAGGGTTGGCAATAAGATCCAGAAGCTTCACATGGAACTGGCTGAAACTTGGAGGAAGCTCTTTGAAGCATTGGAGGCATCTAATTGCTGTTATCCAAATATGAGTCTGGGTTACAAAAATATCTCTAAACAATACATCCTGGAACTAATTCTATAAAGGCCTGAGGCTCCCAGAAACTTTGGATTTCTAAATGCTCTGTGGTACTATCTGGTCCTATTTTGAGGCCTAATTAGGAATTAATTTAGGAATAAGAAAGTTGAAAAAAAAAACAGTGACATAGCAGCAAAATAAGTATATTCATTCGCTTGATCTTAATGCTTTTTACCTGTTTGAAACGAACTATACAGAGTACATACACTCTGTGTATTAACTATTCATGTAATATAAAAACTCATAGTGTACTAATACTTGTGTGAAATACTGTTTAAGGTAGAAATGCCTTTATACATTCTTGTTCTTTAATATCAAAGTGGCACATCTGTTTCACTGTTCAAGACTGCACAAACACAGACACAGCCAGGCTTACATGTATAAGTGTTCAAAGGATTCTAAGTCTATGTATTAGGTTGTCAAGAAATTAATGTTGCTTTTTTTTAGATGAAAAACCTGAACAATTTATATATCAAAACAAAACATTTATTATATGAAATAGTCTCCATTCTTATCGATGATGCTTCTCCATCTTACAATGAGGTTGTTAATGTCTTGATTAAAGAAATCACTTGGCTTTGAAGCAAAAATGTGTCAATGCCCTCTTTAACACCTTCTATATTTGCATACGTTTTCCCATTAAGAGGGTGTTGCAATGAACGAAAAAGATGGTAATCTGATGATGTCATATCTGGAGAATATGGTGGGTGGGGAAGAACTTCCCAACCCAACTCCATAATCTTGTGTTGCATCAAACATGCCACATGTGGACGTGCATTGTCGTGGAGAAGAAGAAGAACACCTTTCTGATTGATGAGTGAAGGGAGTTTCTGATAAAGGGCTTGATTTAAATGTTCCAGTTGCTGACTATAGATCTCTGCATTGATGGTTCGCTGTGGATTGAGGAGTTCAATATGAATTACCCCTTTGATATTCCACCAAATGCGAAGCATCACTTTCTGCGGATGAAGTCTAGGTTTTGGGGTTGGAAGTGATATTTGTCTAGGACTGAGCCATTGTTTTTGGCATTTAATATTTGCATAGAGAATCCATTTTTCATCACGAGTGACAATTCTGTCCAAAAATTGTTCACACGCCAGAAGAAACGAAGCAACATTCACACATTGGAAACGATGATCATCGGAGAGTTCGTGAGGCACCCAAACAACGTTTTTATGAAGTTTTCCCATATTTCTTAGATGTTCACGTATTGTTTCATGAAAACTTGGGTTAGACTCAACAAGCATCTTCAGAACTTCAATATCATTTCCATCACAGTTTTTAAGGCTAAAGTCACCTGAACGAAATTTGCTGAACCATCATTGGCACTTATGAACATTCAAAACATTTCCATAAACTTCTTTGATATTCTTTGTGGTCACAGAGGCATTGTTTCCCTTCTTGTATTCAAACAGCATTAAATGCCGAATGTGTGTCTCGTCGTGTGCCATCACTATAAGAGATTAGAGTATAGTAAACTTTACGCATTATATAGGCTACAGTAACGTGACATTTAGGCAGTTCGTTTGACTATGATTGATACTTTCTCCAAATTCCTCTCATGAGCCAACTTAGCTTTCTTGTTACACACAGATACTGCCAAGTTAGCTTTCACTTTGGTTAGTTTCGTTTTTCTATGTCTAATAACAACTCCTTCCTCTCTAGGGCAACATTTTGCCTTGATTTTTTTTTTTTATCTTTTTCAAATTTCTTTTTTGAAAGCTGTGTATGTTTGAAACTAGATCTCTCTGTATTGGTCCATTTAAAATATCACTTCTTTGAAAATACTTCACAGATGACTTACCGGTTGATCTGAGTACATATCTAAAGTCTGAATTACACTGTATGTTTCTGTCCGGATATTGCCTGATTTGCTACCTACTATGTCATTTATTGCAGAGTAACACCTTCAGGAAAGCATGTGGATACAACAAAGCTTACCTGACCAAACCAGTGACCCAACATGTCTCCTTGCCATCATCTCCTGTAGGAGGTAAATTATCTGTACACTGCAACTTATGGACTTCTTGGTCATACCTGGAATTTTTGGTATATCCATCAGGCTTGGCAATTGTTTTGAAGCATTTGAGTGTGAGAGCATAACCTTTTACTACTGGATATAGGACAGAGGTACACTTTATGACTTCATTCACTAATGAGAGTTTCTTTTGCAGATAAAAAGCACAGATTAAATATGCCTTCTTGGCTTTTCTGTAAAAGTATCTGACTGTGGAGTCATGCTTATTTATTTTGGCTACTAACTTGGCTACCTTTGGTCCATACAAAATGTTTCCACTTGGCAGATGATTTGCTTTATTAGCAATGTCCAAGCTCTTCAATGAAACTGCTTCATTGGTGGCCATGAGAGCTAGTTTTTTTGGCTTTAAGAAGCAACAGATCATCTCCTTGAAAGCTTCAAGGATCTTTTCATAGAACTCTTTCTATCTTGATTTCCATCTTCTTTCAAAGATTTTTCTGACAGTTTTCTCTGAATCTTCTTGATCTTCCTTCTTGCTTCTGTGTCAACTTGTTTCTTCTCCAGAATGGCATTTATGATTGCATGGTAGAACCTCTTAACTACAGGAAATAGAAAAGCACAACAGAAAACTCCATAGGCATCCATCGGTCTTCCAATGCTCTAGCTTACATCAAAGCAACCAAAACATTAGGGATCAAGTGAAGAAACTTCACAGACAACAATTTGCAAATCTCAGCTAAATTTTGATGAATATCTGGAGACCATTTGTGGTTATTATAAATTTGTGTGAAAAGTCTCTCAATATAGTCCTAAAAGGTTCATAAAAATTTGAAGACACCATCATGGATGTGGTGATGATAATGTGTGGCTTTCTTTCCTTTAATTTGCTTCGCCAAAGCAGATTTGATTCGTGCATAACTCCACAGCTGTCCATCAACACAGAAAGAAGCTTCAAACAATTAAAGGGTCCCTCAAAATGGCTGTTTACAGTAACAACTGCAAAAACAAGTGAGCTTATATACTGGACAACAATTTCCTACTGCTCTTCAGAATAGTAACTAACTTTTTGTGAGGTGTACTCATGAAGTTCTTAAACTATCATATAATCTGTCCTCAAAGGTCTTGGCTACACTTCTACTCATTTATGATGCTACTGTGTGTGACTGGCAGAGTTGGTTTAATGTATGGAAGTACTTAGATAACTCTTTTGCCAGATTTACCACAATAGATGCCATGAAAAATTAAAAAGGATTTTTGGCTACAACACCCAGAACCATGGCTTCCACTTTCAACATAACATCATTACTATGTACTGCTGGGGAAGGAACAGGACTAGCATGCTCAATTTATTTAGCTGTAAACTTGAAGATTAGGGCCAACCTATACAAACTGTTGGTGCACTGGGGAGGGCATTGTTTTTAAGCCTTATGTGCAGTTCATGCACATACTTTGTCCCTCTTGCATGGTCCTATAAAGACATGCATCCAGTCAAAAAAATTATCTATTGTTTCATGGATTAGTTGCCTTGTTGACACTTTGTGTTTGGGGTTACCTTCCAGATGCATGGAAAATGTGTATTGTAATGCAATGTGGTATTTTTAGAGTGATTCACTTTGTCTTTTTGAAAGACCAGATGCTTGCTGTAGAAGTCCCACCTTTGCTTCATTATATTTCTACTTGCTGATCATTCAACTTTCCTTTATTTATCTACAGTAGTTCTATGACCAGATGATAACCATGTACTTCAATCCCTTTTGCTTTAAAAAAGTGCTCTATGTTTACTTTGACTTCTACACTGTGTCTTGTCTCTAATTCCAGCTGTCACAAATCACTGCATACTTCTTTCTGCACAATAAATTACCAAATCTCTCATTTTGCAGAGATCTGGCAACTGTGTGGAGGTATAGCTTTGAATTACCCCAATAATAAATATTTTTTTTAATTGTCTTACATAAAATATATTCATGTTCATCTGAACATGTGAAATTGTGTTTCTTGTGTTCAATACTCATATAAGTTAATAAGTATATGAACATATAATTAATTATATTCAAACTTTACCACTAACTGTGTGCAAATATATTAATATTAATGTATGTGATGCTTTGGAGACCATGTAAATTACAAGTAATTTAACTCACCTTTGCAAATGTATTCAATAAACGTTTATCATAATCATCTGTTACTCTGCCTCCATATTGAACTTCACCTATCATATAACGCACTGTATTCCAAGAAACTCCCTACAAGAACAATAAATTATGAAACAAAAAACTATTTTGTAAAATTTATACTAGACTCAAAAATGAAAATATAGCTCTTTTATTATAACAAAATTATTCTCATTTTGAAAATGTGGCTAATTTTCCTAAAGTAAATCTGCTTTAAAGTTAGGAAAAACTTGATAACATATTATATCTAATTATAGGACAACTAAAGTTTTATTATGCATATTATAAAAATTGCCTTCTTGGGATCCATATCATCCAGGTGATTCTGTACAAACTGCACACTTGCAACCCAATCTGCAGAGTTGAACTCATATGGAATGTTCCACCCAAGAGGGCCAAATTTCCTCCGTTCCTATAAGATTAGTTGTAGGCATTCAAAACATTATACACAATACATATTTAAAAACAGCATATTTTCTTGTAGAATATCCTAATAAGAGCTATTCTTTTCAGATAGAGAAACTTTTCCGCTTGTGTATAACTTCCATTTAGGTCTTATCTTTAGTTTTTACAAGATTCTGTGAAGACTTTTATAAATGGATTAAAAAATATACATGGTATATGAATTAAAACTTAATTCTATGGTGACTATGACAAAAATATAATGATAAATAATAATACTTGAAGAAGATTGTCAGGAGTGATTGAAAGTTTGATATGGTTGAATCAATTTTGTTTATTCTACCCTGGCCAACTGGACAAGAAAATATTTTTTAAATAATTTAGTTGATATTTTCAAGGTTTTCTAGTAAAAAACTCATTGAAAAGAAAGAGAAGTATATTTTTCTACCAAGTAATACATTATTCGCCTTCATACAGGCTATGGACAAAACATGTATAATTAAGTTTAAATAAATAGGTTAGGAATGTCAAGTAATTAATTATTCTTACTCTGTCTTATACAAACAAACAAGGAATATGAAATTTAAGATCAAACATTAATGAAATATAATGCTACACACTTGTGATTCTTTAATAAATAAAGATACTTTTTAAAATGTATGTTTTAAAATCAAGTTAAAGGTGAAAAACAAATACATTTTACATGAACTAAAATGCTTTAAATATATCAGTCATAAATATAACAAATCTTGGTGCTAGAGTATTTATAGATAGCAGTAAACAAAACTATAAAATGTCATTTTGTAGTATGCATTTTAGGTATATGTGTCCATTCCATTACCTGTGAAGATAAAGGAATGGACACATATACCTAAAATGCATACTACAAAATGATAAAAGTGCAATCCAACTAATTAGCTTTAAGTTTTAATCAAAGGTTATCCTGCAAAACAAATTCCTGAAAGAAAACTAATAGTCTGCTCTGTGTTATGACTTTGTCTTAGTAACATGCAGTAGTTTGCATTCTTGTGGAAATGAGAATAAATGTTAGTAACTTACAACAAGATTTTATATTCTCTTACCAAGAATATAATTTTCAGAAAATTATATTTTTTGGTTAATTATACTATTTCATGTTGTAAACAAGCAGCTTTGTTTGTAGATAACCAATGATTTACTTTGTGCTTGTTTATGGGACTATTAAAAAAAAACTTTTCAATTTACTATATCATGAAAAGTGTGAAAACTACTTTGAAAAAACATTCTAGGTTTTCAGTGTGTAGTAAGAACTTAGAACTAACTAAGTTAGAAAAATATGATTTTATTAGAGACAACTTCATCATAAAACAATACTAGGCAACTCAATGCGATTTTAGAATTTATGAGCACAAGCTATTAAATCGTAAAGATATTAATGTAGCATTTTGGAACACTTTCATCCCCCCCCCCAAAAAAAAACTTACATCACGTATAATAGTTAAACAAACTGCCTAAACATCATATTAATGTAGTATATATAATGTGTAAAGTTTAGTATACTCTAATCCCTTATAGTGATGGTACACAATGAGACTCGCATTCAGCATGTAATGATGTTTGAATACAAGAAGGGAAACAATGCCTCTGTAGCCACAAATAATATCAAAGAAGTTTATGGAAATGTTTTGAATGTTCGTAAGTGTCAACGATGGTTCAGCAAATTTTGTTCAGGTGACTTTAGCCTTAAAAACTGTGATGGCAGGGACTGACATGTTGGAATTGATATTGATGCCCTGAAGATGCTTGTTGAGTTTAACCCAAGGCAACACACTCGTGAAATGGCCCTGAAGTTGCATGTCTTTCATGAAACAATACATAAACATCTAAGGAATATGGGAAAACTCTATAAAGAAGGTGTTTGGGTGCCTCGCAAATGCAGAATTAGATTGATTAAAGCACATCTGTCTGTGCAACACTCACCACATAGTGGGATCCAATAAAAGCAAGATGTAAGGGACCCTGAAAAAGAAAGATGATATTACTCCCTCCTTCTTATATTCTGGTCAGTGGGGGGGGGGGGGTATGGAACACCACCAGAAGAAAAACTGCCAGATCATATGAAGAATGTGAGAGAAAAGAATTTGGAGAAGTCCACATACAGGCCTGTAAAATGTCACCCAGTGAATCAAAGAAATGGGCAGTGAAAGACATAAATGTGCTGAAGCTGATGAGATGTAATTCTCAGAAGATTCATCACCTGTAAAATCTAAAATATGCAACCTGGATATTTGCAAAACCACTTCCAAGGAAGTGGGGATAAATCTTTGGAAACTGAAGTATCCCAAAGAATACAGAGACCAGGCATAAAATATGGTGAAAATAACATATGGTGCTGATGCTAGACCAAAGGCTAGATCCCTGAACTGTAGAACTTGATCCCTGTATGTAAAAACGTAGCTAAAGGTAATATGAATGCATTATGAAAATGTGGAGAAATACCTCAGCAACCTCCAACTTGGGCATCCATGGACCTGGTGAAGAATGCCAATGTAGGGTGAGAAAGGACTCCATTGTGGACTATTGAGGAATGAAGAATGGTTTGAGAGGAGAAAGAATGACAATCATCCACGAATCTCTCATTGACTCAGGTACAAAGAAACAGGAATAAAATCCCAGAGGAATAAGATCAACTGTCACTACCACCTCCATGATCAGTAACTCTGATAGCCGTGAAACAAAAATCCACACTACGCTGGTCAGATGGAGGTAGAAATACCACAGGGTGAGAGGATAAAGGAGAATTGAATGGAAAGACCAACCTCGATACCAGAACCCAAAGTACCCATGAATCTGCACTGAAGGAAATACCAGGTGTCCCTCAATAGTTGTAATCTCACTCTGACCCCCCCCCACCCACACACACACACGCACACCAAGGTTGATACTGATGCCATTGGCATTGGTCGACTAAAATGGAGTGGCCCTGAAACTAAGGTCTGAGTCTATTAAACTGCTAGAGCCAAGGTAGGTCGAGAGGTAAAAATAACAAAAAAACAAATGAGTGACAGCAATACAAGTGCTTCTGGAACAGCCGTGAACATCAAGAAGCTACATGTAATACCCAGAGGCTACAGCAGGTAGACAAAATCCCATCGCCAAGATATCTCTACAGAAGGAACAAAAGCAGTCAATCTGACCAAGGAAGAAATCAGTAGGAGACCCCATTCATCCACATATTGACGTGAGGACCATTGATAGTTTACCAACAATTTGTGGGGGAAAAAACATCACAAAGCAAGTGAGGAGCAAACAAATAAAAAAATGTGATTGGTTCAAAGTGATCACATGAACCAACCTGGAACCTCACATATCCAAAATTTAATGATTTTAGTCTGTGGAATTGAAAACTAATCCATCCACCTAGAAGTTAAAAGCCAAAGCATGCTGACAGAAAAATGAGGGCACAAGGTATATCTATCCCACCACGTAATAAAACAGTAAATCTCTCAACATATACCAGGTATATCAGGTGAAGAATGAAAAACTAACTAGTCACCCCCCCTGATCACTCCACCATCAAGGCTAAAAGGTCACAGAGAAAAGCCCCAAAATCTCATAAACCCAAATGGCTAATTGAAGAAAAAGAGTAGGAGGTGGGTGATCCAAATTGCATTTGTGAGATAAACCGAGTCCAAATTCTCCCCAGAAAGACCAGGATCAATAGCAAGAACAAAAAAAAAAAAACAACTTCAGAGGCCCCAAGAGAAAATGCCCCCGGACCAAATGTACGTCTTTATCTCCCAATGGATCAAAACACGGCCAGCCTCAACTGAGAGTGACCCCCACCCCCGATTGTAGAGAGATGCTAGATAGCAAAGGAGGTATATGGAAGGTCAGCTTAACTGCAGTGCTGACAAAGGTAATACAGTAATTCCCACCTGTAAGCATCATGTCCAATATTTTTTTTTGGCAAAGAAGTTACAATTATACAAAAATCTGCAAGGCAACATGAAAATCACAATCATTAGCAGAATGAACCACAGCACTTTGCCAGAAAAACCATGACCAACACTTTGTGAAGAAAAAGTGATTACATTATCTGAGGGAGGTGCTTATATACAGTGTCAGGAAAGAGGACACACTGACACGAGTGGAAGGATTTGCAGATTAGATACTGCCAAGGGCATATAAGTGGGGTATAAAAGACTGGAGCATGCAAGACCAATGCTTAGATAGGCAAAGCCAATGTAGAGGAACAGCTAAAGTGGCAGCAGAGGATAAGTATCTGTTGGTTTAATGTAAGTGGCTATTGTTCGAGATGATAAATACTAAGGAAGGGGCAGTGTTATGACAGCAGAAGTCACGTGATGCTGCTGATGAGTTTCTCGAATGATCGAAGAAGTCCGAGTGTATTTGAGGTGCTAGTGAGCCATAAAGTGTGTGTTTTGCACTCGTCAAGAGCATAGTTATCGAGATTGTGAATCGCTGTGATTTATGTGTATTATAAAAGTTAAGTTTAAAGTGATGAGAAACGTACTGATTGTGGAACTTCTGTGTACTAAAAGTTGTATTGAGAAAGGATAACCTGGTTTAATCAAGAAAGGGCTTGTATCGCAGAAGATCTAGGAAAGAATTTCTACCGGAAACAAACAAACAAGCAGATAACAGTAGGTTTTGGAAGTACTAGTTTTATATACCTATTACCAACAATACTAGTTTCACATACCATCTTCAGTGTTTCCATAAAGGTCCTTCTGAACCATTAAATTTTATCTCAATCTGTAACATGAAGTAGCTTTCACCAGCTAAAGTTTTTATTTCTACATGTGATCATCACATAGCTGTAGGAACCATGAAAGCATGTTTGTTGAACTGGCTTTATATGCCTGTATACCCTTACCTTTCCAAAAATTTATAAATTTATAGTTATATCTTGATTTATCAACTACTGGAAGAATCACTACTTCAAATTTTCAAATTTCATAAAAAGTATATCTATATTTACCTGAACAACACTGTGAAGAAATGACACTGCATATAACAGTGGTTGCCACTGGGGATAGTTGATCAAATCCAACTGGTCTTGGGTAATTGTGGAATACATTTGTTTAAGTCCAGCTTGAACTCCTTGAGGTGGATCATTAGTAAACTTGATGGACATCTGTAGCAAGGAGATTGGAAACTTGGGATGGACTTCAGTTGTGATCCAAACACAAAAACTATCATGAATAGTCCCAGTGGTTAACAAAGTATCCATAAACTCCTCCAAGAAATCTAAACCAAGATGACAGTTCTGCAACAGCATCCATCCTCCCTATAATATAGAAAACTATTACCTTAAAAAAAAGTGCTGATATTTAACCTTTTGAGAAATTCTAAAATGAACTAGTAAAAATTATTTAGTAGATACACGTTAGGAAAACACACCTGCTGTTTATGACTAATATAATACTGTTACGTATCTGCTCATTTGTTAATTTCTGGTATAAGTTCTTTCCGAGGAACTTCAGCGATACAAGTCCTTTCTTAAATAAACTAGTTTATTTTTTCTTGATACAACTTTTTAGTACACAGAATTTCCACAGTCACTTTAAACTTAAGAACCTTTATAACAGAACTCCAATCAAGCTGGAACTATATTTTGGTAGTTTCTTTCGGATGTAGATCAGTGTTCTGGTACTCAGGATAATTGTAAATTAATGGCTATTCATGCTATAAATATTGCAGTTTTCATAAGAGCCCTTTTTCAAAAACGCTTCAAAAAGATAACACTACTTGTAACCATTTCTTTGTAAATGGAAACTAAGAAATGGTTACACTACTTGTAACCATTTCTTAGTTTCCATTTACAAAGAGGCACAAATATGTGCTTGGATTTGCCTGATATCATAGTACACGGAGCTGTCACTTCTGTGCAAGCTCTACTGCTGGTTTCATAATCCCTCCCTTACCACAAGAAACTGAGAACCTGAGTCAAATTCAACAGACTACTGTATTATATTTCCCATGGAGTGTTTACTAAGTGAAGAGTCTAATGTTACAACAAACAGTCACTGTGCTACTTATAAATATAATCACAAGTTTTACCAGTCAATTCACATTAAAAAAACATAATTATAACATTTTTACTTCTTCTGTGTTCCTTCTATTGTAATAATCAACTGTTTTTTCCAAAGAATAGACTTATCTATACAAAATGGTTAAAATGAAATCAATTCACATGTCCAACATATTTTGAGAGAATAATAATAGTAATATAGTGATAGAATTTTTATTTCTGCGTAAAGGATGTATGAGTCACAAAAAAAGCACTCGGGGAAACAATGTTTTTTGTTGCCATTCCTTTGACAGTGACAACATGCTTACAGCAAACTTGGATCCCACACACACACAGATCCGTTGACTTGGATTAGGCAATGTTAACCTAGATTTTCTACCACTAGGACCCACTGACACTTTCATTGTCTTTCCTTACAAATCTTCTTTCAGTTTAAGAAGTTTAGTATTAGCTATAGTGCATTTTACAGAGTTTCATCATGTGGGTATTACTTTATGCTTCCCCTAGTACACTTATAGTCTGAATTTGCATGCACCTTCTACTAGTCCTTGTACTGAATTAATGTTAAGAAAATATTTTAGAAAACTGTACAATTGTCTAAATATTGAAATCTACATGATTAAAAACATTTTACCACAAACATATAAAATACTGGGTACACTAAGTTTATATTTGTTATGATATTTAAGCTATTTCATGAGTTTCATAAACTATTGATAATTTCAATTTGAACTAATCAAAATATTTTGCATTATTCTTATTGTTTGTTTGTTTGTTTGAAATTAAGCACAAAGATACACAATGGGCTATCTGTGCTCTGCCCACCACGGATATCGAAACCCGGATTCTAGTGTTGTAGGTTCGCAGACATACCGCTGTGCCACTGGGGGGCTACTCTTATTGAAAAAACATAAATAATACTACATTTTCTTTCAAACCTACCGTTAGTCATTTCGTTACTCTTATCATTCCATGAAAATTCACTACCTGCCAAGTATTTCAGTGTAAAAATCGAAACATTCTCTGATTAGTATTAACTAAAACAACATAATACTGTATTTTTCAGTAATATCTTACAGACTGGTAATCACACTTAACTTCATATAATAATTTTAATATCCTTCGTTTTCATTTGCACACAATTTTAATAATTATGTTTATTATGTGATTGATTCATTCGTATTGTACAACACTCACGAATGACTTCATGTGATGTTCCTACTTGTCTGGGACTATACACACACATATCTATGTGGGTATATATCAACATGTACATTTATATCTATTACATGTTGTCACACACATTAACAGCTTTCAGCAGACCTTCTCTGGTTCCCACTCCAATTACTTCACAACTGTCTCAGGTTACTTTCTGAAGCTACTGTTGGTAGCTATTATTTAATAAAGTGCTGCCATCTGCAGCCAATAAACTTGTGTTTTTCATTTCAAGCATCACTAAATAAATAATCACTGATTGAATTTGGTAGAACTATGACTTTTCAGCTTAATTCTCGTAAGACAGAACTGATTACTTGTGCTGTTGTCACACACACTAACAGCTTTCAGCAGACCTTCTCTGGTTCCCACTCAAATTACTTCACAACTGTCTTCAGGTTACTTTCTGAAGCTACTGTTGGTAGCTATTATTTAATAAAGTGCTGCCATCTGCAGCCGATAAACTTGTGTTTTTCATTTCAAGCATCACTAAATAAATAATCACTGATTGAATTTGGTAGAACTATGACTTTTCAGCTTAATTCTCGTAAGACAGAACTGATTATTTGTGCTGTTTCTACGGCATATATTAATTTATGGGTAAATAAATCACAACTCTCTCACTACATATGGAGAAATACAATATTTTCCTAGATGCACTGGCAAAAACAATCTAGTGAGGGATTTTCATGAAATATCTCAGATGTTTCATGTCAACAAATGACTTGATAGCTTTAAAAGGATCAAAAAAGCCCTTTTAACAGTGATTTCTAGCTTCTAGATATCATTTGCAGTGGTGCAAACTGTTATCTACTGGCATAAATCATCCTAAACTGTATCAATCAAGCAGTTATCACCCAATATCCTGTGGATATCTCTTATAATGAAACACTGCTTGATACCTTGGAAAGTAAGGGTCACAAAGCCATTTCCATTCCATTAATCTTACGATCAACAAATCATATCAATTTCAGATGATTGGGAGATAATCATAATCTAATGCATTCATTATACCTTATAATGCTGTTAAATAGCTTAGAAGGCAAGAGTCACAACACTCTTTCAAAAATGGGGGTGCATTACACAGGCCAAATATCATGACATAAGGCTCATCATCTTTCATGCTAAAAGCAATACTAGGTCTGCTCTTGTCATCCATTTTGACTTTCCAGTATCCAGATGTCAGGTCTAGCATATTGAACCAACAGGCTTCTTCCAATGCATTCAGACTTTCATCTGTTCATGGTAGTGGAAAGATGTCAATATAATTTACCACATTCACCAACCTATAATCAATGCAGAAATTGGGGATACCTTCCTTCTTGACAATCACTGTTGGAGACAACAATATCTCTCTGAAGACTGTGTGACTCTGAACTTTAAAATCCACTGTACTTCAGTGATATGCTATCTCCCTAGTGCTCTAAGGAATCCTGCATGGCTGTTGTTTAATTGGATGTACATCACCTATATCTATGTGATATTGCATGACTGTGATTCAACCTAATCTGCCATATAGTTCCATAAGTACATTGGCATATTTTGCCAACAAGTCACTTAGTTGCTGCTGCTATGTTGAGTCCATATTGTATGGACAATCTTCAACTAACGATGTTAGATGTGTTGGTATCTATATACTTTCAGACATTTGATGGATGAAATGCATTAATTAATGCTAATATTGATTACTTGCACTTTGCTTACTGTGTCAATGACCATTACAGCTTGTAGCTAGATAACTGATTGTCCACAATTGCATAACAACACCTAGGCTCAGCCCTAACCCCAAGGACAGATAACTGCCTGAGCTAGGGTAATGTGACTTCCTCTTTGACATACAATCTTGCAGTCTACTGTTCCTGTGACTGATGTGGCTAATATTGGAAAACTCTGTCATAGACCATTAGTTCACCCATTATACAGGGTAAACTGACCAATAAGCTAAGCAGTACACCCATTCCAAGAATGCCAATGCCAGAATTGAGGTCAGCAGCAATTACATTTTTTTTTGTAAGTGAAACCTCCAAGACATAGTTGTCTAGGATATTTTCAATTGCCAGAACAAAGTTTATGTTGACAAGCCCAAACGGTAGTTTCTCTTTGAGCACCTGTTATACTGTGAGATCTATACGCATTCTGGTCATTCCTATATTAACCAGGAACTCTAATTCTTGTTCTTTTACTCTGACAGGCACACATTAAAACCCACGCAGCTCTGAAAGAACTGGACTGACTACCACACTATTTGTGATGCAAGCTGTTCGTTGCACTTCCCCAAGTCTGTGGCCAGATCTGACTTGGGATTCTCTAGTTTCTCAGAGCTACAGCAACAGTATTCACAATCTGCTATTAGCTCTCTTGAACCTACTCAAAATTGACCCAACACTCCATAAGTAAAGCACATATTTCACACCTCTCTCTACCAGGATGACATCTTGGTGGAGGCATTGGTAACATAAGTTAAGGGATATAAACCATGGGAGGACTGGGATAGTCCTGTCCACTAACTGGATATCAATGTGGTGGCATTGCAACCCTGGGATGTGAGGGTGGTTGGTTAACTCTCAGCTGAGTGCCTGAGTGGGATGATCAGTCTGAGGTAAAATTACCTCAGCTGCTTCTACAGGCTTTTTTATCCCTTGCAACTGACTCAAAGTTACTGCATTGTGACAAAAACTGCCCTAGTAAGAGTGAGTCTCTCACACCCAGGTGATGGCTTATCATTTCACTGGGTAGCCTTTCCACAAACACATCTATGAAGATATCTCTAAGATCTGCTGAGGCCACTTAGGGTAGCTTTATCATGCAATTGGTGAAGACAATTTGCATGAGTGGTCAATATTTCTGTGGTACTCCTCTTCTGAGCCTTGAAATTGGTCCAATGGATTCTTCTGTTTTACAATGGGTCAAACTTCCAGCATAACACAGCAATGCCTGTCTTGCAGTCTCAGATTTGCTCCTCATTTTACAGACAGTTATCTGTCTGAAACACTTCAAAAAATGGTCAAAATCTTCCTTGGCTGTGTCGTAAAATGTAAGTTGAGTGATCTCCTCATCATGGCCAAACAATCTTCTTCATGGTCTTTGAGAGCACCTACCACACTGTGTCAATGGTGTCTCAAAGACCATGATACTCTGACAAGCAATAAGTTCTTGATCCATGATGGCAGAAGAATAAGGTATTCTAGGCAGTTCATCTATTGATTCTGCTCGACGCCAAGATCTTCTGTGGATCATGCTCACATAAACAACATACCTCCTGGCTTCAGGATGCTCACCACTACCCCATGACCAAGTCATCATTTTGTTACTTGTCTCACTTGCTGGTAGGATGACTCTGGTCATTCAACAATGACTACTCTAGTCTCTCTGTGATGTTCTTGGGTGATTCTGATCAGAGCTGAGGTTGATTCACTCTGGCTAGTCTGGGAGTTTCATACAGACAATCCCACCTAGTCTCAGTCTCACAAGATCTTATACCACTGTAACAATCCTCAGTCCATGTTTCTCTTACACTGAGGTTGATCAGCAATTTTGAATTCACCAAATTCTGGCAGTTTTCCTTCTCAAGTCAGTGGTAAGAATTAGAAAGAAGTCATAGACCTTGGTAAGATGTCAAAGAGAGGACTTCTTCTAGATTCAACAACTCTCTCTGTCAACCATCTTTCCTCGTGTTCATAAGTCCTTTGGGTTGTAAAAGATGCCATTTCCTCAAATATGAAGCCTTTTTAACATAATATAATATTTAGGAAGAACAAGGGCCTACTGTTCCATCTCAGCTGTCCCATCCTCTAAATCAGTGGTTTCAAAACCTTTTTTAGTCTGAGGCTCCCTTGATATGAATAAAAACGTTTGAGGCCACCCAACCTATAACTTTAGCATGGTGATTGAAAACCAGTGCTGTAGTAAAAACAATAACATCTCCTTTCAACGTACTGTATCATTTAATTAATTCAACACAATTTTTATGGGATTATTGTTTATTTAGAATTTAATTAATTCAGCATCTTTGTATTGGGCCATTTTGTGATAGATGATATTCCTATAAATAGTATCTTAAGTGAAGGAAAGATTACGAAAATCATTAAACCATAAACTGGTACATTCACAACTACCATTCTGTTAAATATCTATCACTAATAACTTGAAAATATGGGTATTGCATATTTGTAAAATAATCACTAAGATGTGGGATGTTGAAACTCTTGATTATCATAGTCTGATACCCAACAAGTCTTAAATGATGATAAGATGATTTTCATGATGATTATAATGTCATCTGATTAAATGAAAGAAAACTGTTTAATAGTAAGTAAGTATTTTTGATATTTGCTCTCTATTTACAGTTATTTAATTTCCCATATTTATTCCCAAATCTATTTACACTATGAATTTCTAATTACTTTATAATACGTCCCTGATGCTCTCAACTGTGACATATGATACTACCTTGGTGAGGAAGTTTGATTTGTTGAAAAATGCCCTTCTAGCAACAGCTATTAGGTTAACTCTATCTTAGTAAACAAAGCTCTAGTCTGGTATGTGAAAGGTCCATGTTTGAGCAAAATACAAAAATTTAATTACCACACTAGTATTATTTATGAAAATACAAGTCTTAGTAGACAGGAGATAAATTCTTTATCTGAAATAGCCCAACAAGCACAACATGGAATAGTAAAATATCAGGGGAGGAGCAGAGAGATTTAGTTTATATTTTAAATTCCTTTTCATTTTTTTTCTGCTCTTACAGAAAATGTTTATTTAGCTACTTTCTTTTTTACCAATTCACTAGCTAAAGTTTCCAGCCAGGATAATTGGTCCAGGATATAACACCATACTAATTTTTGTAACACTACAGAATTTTCAAAATTTCAGTACAAATTTGTAAGATATTTTATAAACAGTTGATCAAAATGCTTTGCTTTGACTTTGATCTTGTACATATATGATGACAACTCACTAAATTATTTTTGCAATATAAACATAAAAGAGGGTAAACCAACTATTTTGTACTATTTAGATCGTTAATTCAAATAATCTAACTAAACAATTCAGAATTACTAATATGAAGAAGTTTAAGAAGAAGTGGAATTGCCGAGTTCTGCTGATTTAAAATTGTATTCAGTTAGATCTTTTTTAATAATTTGTTGCTGCTCATCTTCAGCTCCATAACTTGTTGGTTTGTGATAATTAGTAAAGCTGAGGATGAGTAGCATTTAAGGATTTGAAAGATTGGTATTTGCTGAAACAAAGCTGGTTTTTCTTAAACTGTAATATTGTTTCATTTTAACGATTCTTAATAAAGTAAAATATATGTAATATTTAAAAAAGCATGACAAATATATTTTCTACTAAGAAACCATAAATGAAACTGAGTGGCTTATATTGTATCAAAGTAATTGACTAGTAGGTAAATATACATTTACATAATAGTTTTTCTCTAAAATAGAAAGTGCAAAAAAGTATTCTGTTGTTGCATTTACACAACTTTATTTTCTTATTGCAAAATTTAAGAGATATGTATTTTATTTTAGAAAATACTAGGTTACTAAATTGCATCTGTAACAAAGGGGAGAAAATTATATAGTAAAAATGTATCTAATTTTTTAACACTTACTCCTGTCATGCACTGTCCCATCAACCTTCGAGCATGAACTTCTTGACCCTGACCCATAGAAATAGCACGGCAATCTATGCCCTTCTTTTTAGATAAGGTTTCAATCTGACCTGTTGGATCAGAACCCATAGAAAGAAGACAAATAAGAGGGGTTCTTGTATTACTCTCTTTCCAGGTATGCTCTAAATTTAGAATAACTGGATCAGCATACTTTGCTCCCATTACATCAGAAATGTATTTCCTGGCTTGGAACAGCATTCGATCTTGACACCAACACCTGCCAAAATCACAGAACTTCTTAAATACCATGTTTGTTTACTTATATTTTTATATTTCCTATCTGAAAATAAATATTATAAGTATGATATAATAAAATGATTTTGAATATGCATATCAGCAAGTCACATGAAAACCATAGCAGACATAAAGTTGCATCATAAGGGCATGTATCAACATTACATTTTGACATTGCTTGACTTTTTTGCAGGTAGCCTGATGCTACAAAAAACTAATTGCTTTTGGGAAGTGTATGTAACAGTCCTTTCTGATGCAAAATAATTATGCACTCAGAATACCAAGACGTGTTCAGATTGGAGATTAAAATGTCCATGATAGGGATAATGCTTATATTTAATGGAACTGGAAAACAAAAGTCGATGAACCAGCTCAGGACACTAGGAACATCCAGAAAGAGACCTAAATAAGTCATATCCCAGCTGTAGTAAGCAAAATGTGACATCTGGTAATAGTTTAGAATCCATAAACATAAATGCTAGTATCAAAAGCTATCAACATGTCACACACAACAGTATATAACATAATCAAGAAAAATGTAGAAACAAGGCTAAAAAGGTATGGGTTCACCAAGATAAGGTTTTTCCATTCATACATCTTGTTCAACCTTATACATACCACAAGCAACTGGAGAATCAAAACAGTATTGATACTATTTCATACAAAGATATAGTGGTTAAGTTGCCAACTACACTACCTATGAAATTCTTTGTGATTAAAGTGTTGAAATAGGTGCTGCAAAATAGCTATCCCTCTAAACTAGATGGATTATGGTAAGCTATCAAGGAGCAATGAAGAGCCTTGTACATGATAGCCTTACAACAAAGCCTTTTGCAACTATATTTCAGGATTATTGTTAATATGCAAGGTAGTTATATAGAGCATGATCAGATGTGATAACATGGACTGTAACAATGTGGTGAGGCTCCACAGTGTTTTAATATAAGTTTGTACCCAACCTCTAAAACACATACTTTTTTTCTAGCCAAAGAAAAATAAAAACGACAGCAGTTCAAATTTTAAGTTGAACAAACTTTAATAAATAGGGTTCAAATACTTTTTGAACATAGAATTCAAAGACTGTTTCATATCTTCAAGATATTTTTCCAAGACATTTTACTTTACAAAGTCTGGTGTTAAAGACATGAGTCATCAAATTATCATATGGTTTGAAATTTTTAATGTTCTAGCTCTATCATGTAATGAAAATGATTTAATGCTTTTACTGTAGATATACATAAAGTCCCTTTCTTAGGAAGCTACTAGATGTCAATGGAGTACTTATCAAGTTGATTACAGGAGGACAGACACAATATTCAGTTGTTAAATTGCTACATATTAAAAATGTCAGTATTTTTAAGTTATCATTTTTGTAGTTAAAGTTGAAATGAAAAATTTAATACAAGAAATTGGGACAGAAATAATTAAAGTTTCAAAAAACAATTTTCAAGGACTTTCCAAGTGGGTTTTTGAAAGTAAACAAGTTTTATACTAGTATAAAAACAGTAATGAGAGTCTTTAGAGGCTATTTAATGAAGATATCAAAAATTAAATTTTTGGAACAATAATTATTATTTGTTCTTTATTTTTCAGTGGTAATGGATATTATTCTGAAAGTCATAAATATGAAAGGAAAATGATGTTTGTAATAATTATTACATTACAGCCTAACCTGATAAACAAAAGGCGATGGAAGGAATCCAGTGACATCTGATAGCCACTTGGAATCTCTTCTTCTTCTGGTGCATCATTTTCATACCAACTTTTCCATGATTTCTCATTTTTCTTTACCTGTAATTCAACAATATGTTATTTATTTATTTAATTCATATTTTGATACTTATTTCAAGTGTTATCAGTACAAGCTAATTGTCAGATTTTGTAGACAGATGCTTTCCAGTAGGTATCTGTGACTTGTTGGCAAAAAATTTCAACTATAAAAGACAGCAACACAGGCAGCTAGTTTTAAGAATAATATATTAAAAACAAATTAAACATATATACAAATGGTTGTTACACAGTTGTATCCAAACCTTTAAGTTAACATTTTCCTAAATTGAAAATGTACTTCCAATAATACTTACCTCCTCTCAATACACAATTAACGATATGTGTGTCATTTCTCTTGATAAATGTTCATGTCAGACAAAACAGAAACTGAGACAGATACACGGCAACCTCAGAAATTAAACCCCGATGCCGTGCAAAAGACTGCATAACCTCTATGCCAGAAGCTTGAGCTTCTGGATAGCCATGTGTACTATGTCAGATTATGAAAAAGACTGCATAACCTCTATACCTAAAGCTTGAGCTTCTGGATAGCCTGGTGTACCATGTCAGATCATGGCTGCCTCCACAGAGATAGCCTAAGAAAAAGTGGAAGAGGTGGACACTCCAGAAGGTACTGCAGAAGTAGAAACCAGGATGTAGCAGCCAATCTGGTGCTATTGACAAGACCCAACAATGAGTTGGAACAAATCATATTTAGTACCCTGGGTAACATATGAAGTGGAGAGAAGGCCTAGAGTTGTAATCCCATCCTGTCCTGATGGAATGCATCCATTGCCAAAGCCCAAATATGAGGTACTGGAGACCAAATTGCAAGTAGTTGGGTGATCCAATGAGAGGCCAACCCACCCATCAAAGTTGTAAAATGAGAGCCAATCCAACAGAACCTTATGATGAAACATCTACTCTGTTGGGAGAATCTGTCTGGATTAAGACAATTGACCTGCTACCACAGGAATCATCCATGGAACAAGCTAGTAGGGTGATAAAATAGGAATGGTACAAAATTTGATAACAAGCAGCTCTGGACCAAGTGTCTCCTATATGAGAAACACAAGACCCCACTATGGAATTGTCAGAGTTAAGCCTGAAGATTTTCCCTTAATAAGCCCAGACCATGAGATAGTGCCTGTTGAAGAGCAAGAAGGACTAAAACATTATGTAGGGAAGCCTCTTCCTCCATGCATAGACCCTGGAATTCCTGATCATTGGTATATGCACCCCATCCTTGAAGCAAGGCATTTGTGAGGAGATGGAACTCTGAACGAGATGGTGGTAGAGGAACCCATATCATAGTAGTGTCCTGACTTAACAACCCTTCGAAATCAAAGAATGATCCCAACTAAAGAAACTGAGGAATTCAGTGAATCGATGTTTATGATCTCTTGGTCACATAAAGATCATAAAAAGGATCTCTTATGCTCTTGTCCAAAAGGCATGAGAGATTAAAATGATGCCCACATTCCCAGAAGAGAAAGAACCATCCATGCAGTGGGTTCTGGAGAGATGAGTAGAGTCTGGCATCTTATTCCATAGCATTGAGTCAGATGGGAGTCAGTTGACTGATAGACAAAATAAAAAATACCCAGACTGATGACATATTGAATTGGAGCAAGAATAGATGTCTCAGCCCTGAAAATGAAGCTTGGTTGTTTCTGAAAGTAGAATCAAGATGTGATGTTCTGACAATTGATGAGATGGTGACAAGCAGTAACCAGTCATCCATGGAATGATATGTACACAGTGTGATGGATTGTAGGCAACGAAAAAAAACTTGTACAATATGGCAAAAACCTTGTGAAGCTGATGTGAGTCCAAAGCTAAAAACCTGGAACTGCAGTACCTGACCCTTGTGCACAACGAATGTCAATAGTGGTGGGACTGCACCACTTTGGCTATGTGCAGATAGGAGCTGACTACAACAAACTTGGACATCTAAAATCCCAGTAAAAAATGTCAGCTCAGATTGAGGAACGAGTAGCTTTTGAACCTTGGAGAATCTAGGTATTGATATAGACGAGAAAGATTGATGACTGGACACCAATCTTCTATCTGTATATTTTGCCAACCAACAGGAATAAAACCTCAGAAGAACAAGCACAACACTCTCACTACCCCCAGACCAACTAAACTCTGATAGCTCTAGAACTAAGTTCAAAATCCCAATGATCTGTGAAAGATGGAATCCCTACAGGTTAGGTGTATAATAGTGGTGAAGATGCAAACTGACTGACTAATCCTCACTCAAGGACCTGCAGTTCCTGGATCTGTGGTTAAGGTGAGTGGCTCCCCCCCTCAGATTATTGTGTGATGCTAGATATCAGAGGTGGGATAGGAGAAACCTGATTTGCCTCTGTGCCACAAATAATATTCCAGGAATTCATACCATAAATTGGCTTGCCAATTGGAATAAAAAATTTATTTTTAATTATTCTTATTAAAATCAACTAGATAACATGAATAATGTTCAAAGTATCTCCGAACAATCGTAATACTGGGAAACCCATTTGTGATGCTTTTTTGAGAAGAAGTAATAATATTATCTGAATGAGGTGCTTATATACAGTACCAGAAAAGTTGAAGCATTGACGTAGGTGAAGAGGGTCATGAGAGAAACATTGCCAAGGGCAAATAAGTGGGGTATAAAAAACTGGAGCAATCGAGAAAAAATCAGACCAATGATTAGATCGGCAAAAGAAGAAACCCTGGTAGTAAAGTAAAAGCTGTAAGTGGGAGTAGAGGTATGTATGTTTCGGAAATAATTCTCTTTTTCATCAAAGCCCACACATGCAGGTTCAATTACTTTAGAATCCAATTAGCAAGATGAATTATTCTTCTCTACACTGTTATTACAATACAGTCTGTGATAATTTCACTGCAAAAATCACCACTATACACTCTTTATCACTAAACTTACAGTCACACAGTCTAGAACTAGAACTCAATAATGATTTTTTGATGCATATTTATACCACGACAGAAATCTAGAACATTCCACACAATACTAGATTTCTGATGCAATAATACTCCATTAAACCTAAGAGTAACTCAGAAAGTTCTAGCAACATGGTGCAATAATCTTACTGTTGTGAACAATCATTAATTCATAACAATTGAACTACACAACATATGATTTGTAAACAGTTATCTAAACAAACTTTTAATAAAATAGTTTCTAAACATAACCAAGTATGACGTCCTTGATATATAAACTATCTAAATCATAACACACAAATGAAACTTAAACAGTTGTGCATATCTGACACTGATACATATTCACAATGAGTTAATATGTTGAAAGAAAGCTCAGAAATATGTTGTCTTATTATTTTCTTAGAGTTTACTCAAATTCCATATTTGTTTGTATTTCAGTTGGCAGATATTTCTTTCATTATTACAAACTGAACAATAAGAGTAAAAAAAGTGGAGGGGAATGATATCAAACTGTTAATTTCCAATTTAATGCTATGAACAAATTTTTATACTGAGAGTTAATTGCACCTCATTTAAACAACATTCCAGATCTTGCACTGCACTTTAAAACTGTTCATTCTTTATTGATCATGATTAATCTAATTGCTATGATTAAATTCTATTTGCCTGAGACCACAATTTTAAATGTAGCAAGCTTCTGCAAAATACAGAAAAGTTAAACAGAAATGTCTAGACTAATTTTCCACAGTTCTTTCACTTTTTGTAGAATTGGATTCCAAGACTACATTTTAAACATACAAACCAAAAGTAAAAAATCTCACTGGAGCTGCATCAGGGAACTTAACAGGCATGTAGTCAAATGGGTCTGCTGTGATTCCAATTTCTTTGGCTATTTTTCTCATGAAACCATACAGGAATGTTTATCAAATTGCTAATGGTAATAGAAGATATGCTCAGCTTCATAACATGGCTCTTAGTAATCATTAGTGAATAAAAATATATAACACTCAAGATAGTAACACAAATACCCGATTAACACATTATATTGCATAATGCAAATATATACTTATTAATATTTTTAACTTGAAAGTCAAACATATTAAAATATCTTTTCCTTCCTAGCACCTTTGCAAGAATTTCCTGAAACTGATGTAATTTGCTGAGTTCAACCAGGTTCAACCATGATATATCAGTGATCCACTTGGCTGGTTTTGGTGGCACAGTTTTAAGGTCAAGAGCAGCTCCTCCTATTGGCAAATAATTATATTTTCATAATGTGTAACAATTATATTGCAACTGAAATTCTGTAAACCTGAAAATACAGTGGACCTTTATTTTTAAGCAGAAAGTTTTATAAAAAATGTTTAAATTCATTAAAAGTGTCATGAAAGAAAAAGATCTTGGTATAATGGTTGATCAGTCTCTTAAGCCATTAAAGCAGTGCTCTGTTGCTACTGGTAGAGCAAATAGGATTTTAGGTTGTATCTACAAAAACACTGAATACAAGTCTAAAGAGGTTATAATTTCATTGTATAAATCACTGGTTAGGCCACATTTAGAGTACTGTGTTCAGTCTTAGGTTCCTTACGTCAGGAAGGACATTGAATTCTTGGAAAGTTTTCAGTGGAGGGTTACTAGAATGGTGCCTGGGATGGAGGGGTTATCATATGAGGAGTGATTAAGGCCTTTGAAATGATTTTTTCTTAAACAAAAAAAAGAGAGTTAAATGGGATCTGATTGAGGTATTTAAGATTGTAAAAAGAACCAATAGTGTCAATGCATCATCTTTTTTTCATACTTAACAGCGAGAATAGTAGGATTAGGGGACACAAATATAAATTTTGGTAAGGTAGCAGTCATCTTCAGCTAAGACAGTTTTAGTTTTCTAACATGGTGGTTGGCCTCTGGAATGGATTGCCTTCTGATGTTGTGGAGGCAGTAAATTTAAATGAGTTTATGAGAGAGCTTGATAAGGGCTGGCTTTAAGATTTTTATTTTGTTTTATTTATTTTTTTAATTTATTTATAACAGTGTTTTATTTATTTTTTAAATTTATTTATAACAGTGTGTAAGCTAGAAGTTTTATGTAAATGGTGCATAAAATCTAATTTATACCAAGCCAGGCTATTGGTGAGTTTCTGTTTAATACAATCTCATTGCTCTATAATTGGTAGACAATATATAGACATTTTAGCCAGGAAATATTGAAATTAATAAAATTGTCTAAGGTGGTAGGAATAGTGAAATACTGATTGTGAAAGAGTTAACAGGACCAAATAAAATTCACTTTGATACTAACTATCTCACAACCATATCAGAAATATCAAGAAACTGTACCAGAGATATCTTATACATCTCATTCACTATGATTATGTCACAGATGAGAAAGTACAGAATACTCCCTTTTGCAACAATTTTGTACTGATAGACTGAATGGAAGGTAGCAAGTCAACAGCTGCACCACTGCAAATACTTGGGCCAATTTGTTCTAATCAAAAAGTGGTATTTGACTGTTACTCTTATGGTGCACCAAGTGGCCTAAACTGAGGAGAAGTTTTTGTAGCAACAGGCCATGAAATACAAATTCTCAAACTCACAGTCTGGGCATGCTAACCACAAAGGCAAGACTGACTCTAATTCCTACTTATAATAAAATACAAACTTTACATTTATATAATGCCTAATGTACCTGTAAAAACATTCTTGTGGTATTTTTAAATAATACATATATTGAATCTAAGTTTCAAATGGACAGCAACTGCCTGTTGTAGAAACATACAAATGTAGAGGATGACATTTTGAAAGTCTTCCACCTTTCATCTTCAGGTCAGTGTGTATGTGGTGTAGTTTGGTCTTTATAGTGTTCTAGTAGATTGTGGAGAGTGTATTATGATTGGTTGGCTAAAACACGTTTCTGATTGGATGAGAGACTTCCTGTAGCCTCAACCAATGGTAGCCACAGTGTACTCACCTCGAATCCTAAATCTCTGTTTAGTGAAGGTTTTATTGTGTTAATGTAAAACGATTTTTTAATTTTTCTTATCTTCCAAAATTTGTCTGTGTCGATGATTCTAGCTTTTTCCCAAGGAAAATAATCGTTGTTTTTTAAAGAATTTTTTAGTTTTCAAGAATACATATATTTATTTGATATCAACTGGAACATGAAACCATATTGTATGTAAGAAATTTACATGCCATTTATTAAAAAACACCCATATTCATTTGCATTAACACATATGCCATGCATTTTGTAGTTTATACAGGTTCTTTATTACTGTAATTCCACAAAGATGGCTACTTGGAATAATATGACTTCAGTGAGAAAATGCTTTAGCAATTAGGTTACAGAAAATTAATAGAACTTAATATGAATGATGCAGTGCTTTGGTGCTGCAGGTGTGATCCATGGTGCCATGGGCAATATATTTGTAAGCATATAATTGATTTATGAAACATTTCCAACTATTAGAAAGTGTGATGCCAAGTGCATATTGTTAGTTATAATAGAAACCCAAATTTTTACTTTTAGAATGTTTAATCAAAGACTGGAAGATCAACTAACTAAATAAATATAACCAAATTCCCTTAAAATGCTAATATTATTGATACCAATATTGGATTTATACATAAATATACAAACAAGTATGGAACACATAAGAAATATTTATAGCATTTTACTGGCAACATTGAAATAATAGTTTAGTAACTCATATACTATCTTAGATATATTCAAGTAAATTAGAGAGTATCTATATAAATAAACACCAATATGTGTTTGTATCTTTCTTATACGTTTCCACATTTCTTGATCAATCAGCACCAATCTCAACACAATGATACAGAATGACATGGGGGGACATCTAATTTTGGAAAAACTACCAAATAAACACAACTTGACATAGAGATACAGGATGATGTGAGGAAGGTCATGGGGATATTGTTACCTTTATGTATTTTTATTGTACTTTTAATGTTTATTATGTTAAGAAAAAAAATATAGAAGCACAATTTCCTATCCTTTGTTGCAAACAAGTTTTTATTTCACCCGTCAAACGGATGGGTACTCCAGCTAGTATCTAATAATAGATTCTTTACTAGATGTAAAGTTTTAGATCACAACACTTAAAAAAATTTGATAATGAAATCCAATTATATGTCAAACATTAATTCAATGAAGACCACCTAATACATTCCTGTAACACAGTTCAGTTTCTTATGTATTTTTGTCTGATTTTTTTTGGAAAACTATACATTTTTGGAAAGCTTATTACATAAGGAAACTAAAAATCATTGTTTGCTTTTTTCATGTTAATGGTATGGTGACCATCTTGGATATCAAAATGGCAACCTATTATAGCATAGATTTCCCTATATACATATCCCTTAGCAACACAGTATCAGAACCTTAGTGACTAAAACTAATACTGGCTATGAGGAAGAATATGGTTTCTCTTGCAACACATCAAACATGTCTGAAAACCATTATTTCCAAGAAATAAGCTAGTGTGTCTTCAAATATGTTAGATATTTAGTGTTGTATCAATACAGAAGACTTGCTGTAACAATATAGTTTGAATGAAAGTAAATGAAATTATTATATAATGTCATGTTTGTTTATTGATTCTTTAATAAAAAAGTGTGTGTGTGTATATATATATATGTATATGAATATAAGTACCAGGTGCTAATTTGCATTTCTTATCTACAGTATGCTGTGTGATATTAGAGTCATGTCAATAGTTCAGTTGTAATGAAATTTAGATTACTGTATTTTTGGAATTCAAAATGGTCCAGGGTATTTCATAATAACACATCCAATCATACAATCTCTTATGTATGCACACATAAAAACACATACTTGTTTGTCTGATAAAGGTCAAATTTTCAGTCTTAAATTATTCAATCCTGATCTGGTGAACTGTTCACTTTTGGCTCATGGTAAGGTTTTGCTTTCTTTCAGGCTTCATTTAGTGGATTATAATGGGTAACTTACCTGTATTTTGACAGTCTGATACAACACAATTACCAATGAATTGGAAGTTGTGTATATTGTGCCAAAAAGACTGCAAAGACAAACTCATACAACCAAAGTTTGATTGTTATCAACTTTTGTTAGAAACAGTGAAGGAGAGAGCAGATCTACACGATGGTGAATATATATACATCCACAGCCACCTTGCATCAAAGACACCGTACAGAAGGAGAAAGCAATCTGGCATTGTGGTTGCTACGCAAATGCTACCAACAAGGTGAGGGTACAGTGAGTCAGAGACCGGAAAAAGCATGCATTAGCAACCAGAACATTTCATTATATAGAGAGAAGTGGCAAAAGAGAAAAGGTATTGAATTCAACAGATGATACACCAACCTCATCAAAATCTTCCTGACCATTCACACAATCATCAACAGCTCCCTCAGAAAATAAGCTGTGTTTATTTTGTCAAACTGATACCAAAAAACAGCTATTTAAGGTTCTAACTGAGAATGCTGGCAATGCTTTGAAAGATGCCATAGAAACCTATCGAAATTCAGTTCTGATAACCACGTTCAACACATCCATCTCACCACCTGATGCCCATGCAACTGATGTGAGATATCACAAAAATTGTTGGATTCAGCACATCTTTTATGTTTTGCAAGATAATGCATGAGAAAAAACAAGCACAGACAACTCTTTGTAGACTGCAAACTTATCAATGTGATTTATGTTCAAACAAAATATAATGCATATCTCTCAATGAAAGACATAGAGACTACGTATTTGAACATGCTTGGTGAGGATGCTTTGGCAAATCATACACCTTGTTTCACTAAACAATGGCTAAAAGAAAACATTCTTTTGGCATTACCATATGTCAAGTCGATTCTACAAGCCAACAGAAGGATGCCTTCTATATTATACTGTCCAGATATATGCAAAGAAGGGTTGGTACATGAAGCAATCACAAAGCCTGAAAATGAGATGGATAACATGAATATCTTGTTCGAGGCAGCATATTTGGTACACAGTAGCATCATGAATTTTTCAAAAAACAGCACAGAACAGCATTCATTACTAGTTTTGAGTAATACTGATAATGTGTCGGCTGAACTTTACACACTTATTTACTAAATTATGGTCTGGATGGGGAGAAGTTGGAAACTGAAGCCAGAACAAATACTGTAGACAGAGCAGCACTGACTGTAAGTCAGAATATTATGTATGGCATCAAGTCCACAAGGCAATTAAAGTTCAAGCCATTCCATG